CGTGAGCGCAGCAGGCTTGGCCTGCGGGCCGCCCCGCCCGGGAAAGGTAAGACGCGTTGCCCTGGGAAATGAAAAGCTGAAGCCCATCAAAAAAAGGTGTTTTAGCCTGGTAACAAAATTAACAAACCGGCAGGATGCTGTGTCCAGAACAGTTGTTTCAAAGGTCCTCTTCTGTGTGGAAATTATCCTTAGTCACTTCCTTAACAGCTGCAGTGTATTTAGTGTTTGCCTCGAATTAAAAGTAATTAATAAATCAAAGCAGGTTTTTAGGTACTATTTGTGTATTTGCACCTTTTTCCCAGCATAGTCTATAATGACTGGGGAAGGGTCTGATTTTTGTGTGCATTTCCACTTGGCTGTTTGCAGAGAAGAAATTTCTAAATACTGAACAACACTCATCTATAACAATGATCAAAAATGTGTCATTCCCATTTCTAACTTTGGGAGTTATTTCAAAGCTGATGATAATCCTGCTGGCTTGTATTCAATACCGTTCAAACCTCCCAAACTTCAATTTAAGGATGTTCTTAACAGCTAGCATGCTACCATAGGTCTCTCTTAGTAACGGTGTTGCCATTATCCTTTTGCAGCGCCGAGGTTGCTTAGGAAGGAGAAACTTCACAGCATTCCGAAATACGAAACTGATTCCCATGGAAACATCCTCATCCTCCGATGACAGTTGTGACAGTTTTGGTTCTGATAATTTTGCAAACACAGTAAGTGCAATGAAAGAACAAATAAAACTGAATGTGCAGTGCTAGTAAAGCCTGCAAAAATGTGAAGCTGGTAAAGCTAGTAAATGTTTTGTGCACGATTAAAACTGCTTGCTCTGCTTATGTTTTTGCATAGTAGTTATAAATCTGTGCTGTATGCTGTAATTTCATTTCACTCTTCACTTGTGCTTCTAGGTGGTAATTGTTGGAAACAGATTAGCTATTTATTCTAGCCTTTGAAATGTCACCTAATCTAACATGCCTGATAATTTGCAACTGTGGTTCTGAAACCTTTTCTTAAATGCCTTAACTATTTTTTTTCTTTATTAAAAAAGCTATTTGCTTATACTGCACTTGTAAATGTAAATCATTTTCTGTATCACTTCAGTTAAAATATATTTTATTCTTCATAGAAATGCAAGTTGAAGTCTGGTATTAAAGAAGAACTGGCAAAAATTTTTCACGAAGCCTCAGATGAAGAATCCTTCTGTGGCTTTTCAGAAAATGAGATTCAAGGTGCATTGGTAAGACAGTTCATTTTTAGTTTGCAATTTTAAATTTAAGTTCCTGCACATTCTTTATTGAAAAATAATGGCAGCTTCAGCTTGAAAGTTAAATGTGAAAAAAAAGCATGATTTTATTGAATTTAATGTACAGTCTAAGTAGCCATAGTTTCATTTTTGTTTTGTCTCTGTAAAAAGCCCTCAAGCTCCTGAGCTTTGTGAGGTCAGAATAAAATCTGTCATACGGATTTTGAAATACAATACCTCTTAAAGCTGTTCTTGCTGGATGTTAGTCTGTTAGACTCTTAATGTTTCTAATTTCCTCGATATGAAATGTTATGTTAGTCCATAGACTCCAGCAAACCTGAGAAAAATTTCTGTGTATATTGCCATGCAGTCAGACCTGCGCTCTGACCGTGTAACAGGAAATGCTGTACTTCTTTAGCAGCAGAGAAATAGTGGTCGGTGGTGAAATACGCCTTCCTGCTTTTCCTTGACATCAGTGTAAGAGCAGTTTTATTGCTTAAAAAGACCAACAGCTGGTATTTAGTAGAGAAGACAGAAGTAGTACAATGTTTGGCATAAAATAGGTTTGTCATAACTTCAGAACATGCCGAGGAATGATGAGAGAAGAGTAATGTCTGACTGGAAGAGGATGTGTCCAAGTTAAATAATACACAACACGAAAGAGAGCAAGTAGGAGACAAAGCTGGAATAGATACGTTGGAAAAGGGAACTGATAACTACATGTAATGGACAATCAGAACCACATACCTGGTTTAGTAAAAACTCCATGCAAATAAGGATTGCCATTGAGACTGATGGTCTGTGCGTATGAGGCAGGAAGCCTGGTGTTATCTATGACTGAAATAAGACTGTATGTTAGTGAGTTTAAACCTGGAAGTCAAAAAGGCTATTGCAAAATGAGCTGTTAACTAAAGAAATTATTTTCTGTCCTCCCCGAACCCGTGGTTCTTGCAAAGATTGTAAGCAAGGCATCAGAATTTGAAGATAAGAAAATATTGGGATTTTGTTCATAATTATTTCATTGACTGGCTCTAGAAGGAAGTTTTCGCTTGATGTCATTGGTACTATGAGATGATGACTATTCTTGACAGCTTGCAAACTTGGGTTTGACCCTGTGCTGAGAACTGTGTAGGGGCTTTTTTTACAACCAAATACAATACGTTGCAAAATCAAGCCCTCTAAAGGCAATTCTATTTCTCACGCTTATATACAAACTATCTTCTTTGCTGTTAGACCTGCAAGTGACAGCGAAGACTGCTGCAACTGAAACCAAGCTCCTTTTTCTCATGTGATGTGGCAGTACATTGTGGCTCTGCAGAGAGTTTTTTATCCCTGTGCCCCCATCTCCTGCCCCCTTCCCCCTGCCCCCCACAATATACTAGAGCACTACGACTGGAGATGTAAACATCTAGATTTCAGCCAGATAGCCTCTTTAACCACCTTCCAATAAATATACTGACGAACCATATTTCATTGCAGAGCAACTCACTTGGATTTATATGCTACCATTCTGAATGCCCTATTCCTCTAAAAGTAGCTATGAAGTTTCCACCTCGAAGATCGGAGAGGAGGAAGGGTGCGATGGAATCTCTTCCTGAAAAGCTGGTGCCTGCTACAGATTCGGACTCTGACTCTGAAGAAAAGGGCACCATATTTTTAGAAAAAAGAGCTTTAAACATAAAGGAGAACAAAGCAATGGCAAGTACTCAGCGTCTTCCTGGGGACTCCCCTTCCCCCCTGCCTTGACTCTTAGGGGATCTCTTTGGTTCAAATTAACTCTGAAGGGAAGTATGTGAATGCATTAAGAGGAATTTGCTTTCCTAATACTAAAATCTGATACTTTATGTCCACTGGCATGTGAAAATCCATAGGCTGCAAGCCTAAAGAATAACCCTTTGACATAAGTTTGAGCATTTTCCAATTATTTGCAGTCACTAGAATGTAAATAAGACATAAAAGTAAAAAGTTAGAGCGACTGCATTTCCTGTAAGTAATTGTGCTTTTAGCCAATTGCCCTAATCTAACAGTCTGTAATAGCACATAAACACCCTTTTAAGGCTCTGCTTTTTCTTTCCCTTGTTAGCTTGCAAAACTAATGGCTGAGTTGCAAAATGTTTCTGGTATCTTTGGTGGGAGAAAATCTTTGCCAACTGTCAGTCATGTAAGTATAAACTTACTATATTTCCCTTCAGGTTTCTGAGAGTCAGATTCTGACATTATAAAATAGGATTCTCAATTAAAAAACTTAATGAACAGTGTAAATCAAAGTCCAGTTCAGAATTTTATTACTTTCTAAAACAGGCATCCTTGTTGTGCAATTCTGTTTTGATTTGCCACTGTATAAAGCAGAACAGATTAATTCATAAAGGTTAGCTGTCTCCACAGGCCAGTAAAGGTGAACAAGGTGCTGTGTAAATATGCGTTTATACAAAGGCTGGAGATAAGAGGGGCGGTTCAGACTTTGAAGCTCAAGTCTGAATATTCTGTGAGTTTGGAGCCTTGAAAAAAACAACCCTGACATTTGGCCTAACTAGGTTCTTAAAGAAGATTCATTTGTGAATCACCAATGTAATGAATGTCACTGCTAATTTACCATTAAGCTGTGTGAAGATGGGACCAACACTAAAAGTCGCAACTCCTTGTGGACGTGGGTTCTGCTGCTACTTGGGGATATTATTGTGTCTTATACCTGCTTGGACACAAACGTGCTGTTGACTATTTTTCCGCAGCTAGCAGAAAGCTTAAGATGAATTTGCCTGAGATGTTTTTACCTTGTGTTTTCTGATTTGGGTCAGAGGGGAGACTGCGTCTTTGGGAAAGACAGAAGGAAGGCATGTCTTGTGGGAGGAATTCATAGTAGAGATGGGAGCTGTCTGGGTTTTCACCTGTTTCATTATGGGCTTTTAAACTTGACCAGGGACCAAAGCGACTTCCAAGACGTTCATTGCCCAGAAGTGCTTTGAGGAGGAATCCAGACCGAAGTTCTCGGCCTCACACAAGATCCAGGTCCCTGATTGAAGGTCCTCCTACTCCTTTACCAGAAGAGGAAGATGATGACCAGTACATCTTAGTGAGAAGGAGGAGGATGTCTGATGAATACCTGGAGGTATGTTGAGTTTCTAGTTCTCCCATTACGGGCTGATGATGAAGGTGGTTTTGTATCCATTCAAGAAAATTGCAATTCATACAGAGTTGATCAGGGTTATAAGTATGCCATGGCCTGGGAAGAAGTACAGAAAATAGCATGTAGTACGTGTTCTCTATTGCCCCCCCGCCTTATCTTCGAAAAAACACTTCCTCTTGCACTCCAGCATGAGTTAAGCAAGATCCAGTAGCATTTCTGCACCCTGAAGGTGACAGATCAAGTGAAGGTACTAAAGCTGCATCCATATCATATGTCTTTGCAAATATCTGTTATCTCTTGTTTAAATATATGATGGATATTTGAGACTTTGGCATTGCTTTGAAGATTCCTACGTTGTTTATGCAGAGTTTTTGCTGAAACGACTACTGTAAGTATTTATTGTATCTTCACTATGCAGCATGAAGCCCAAACTCCCAGGAGGGGTCACCGTGGTGCCATGGCTTTTCCACACATTGTGCGCCCAGTTGAGGAGATAACAGCGGAAGAGCTGAATAATATTTGTGGATCTGCAAGAGACAAAGTATATAACAGGGCCATGGTAAGTATATTCCCACTTTGTGAAATGCATACTTTGTGAAGTCATTTTCTTGTTATTCCCTGCTTGTTGTTAGCATCAAGTAGAGCAGATTTCTTCTCACTGAGAGGAACATTGTGATTTTGGGGAGAAGTATGGCTGAGATATTGAAATGTCATCTCTTATCTTTCCCTGAATTTATAGAATGGCCTTTACCAAGCCAGGTAGCTTGCTTTCACCCTGGAACAACTGTAGTACCTAGGTGATGCCAGCTGAGGAAAGTGATTAACAGGCACTGAAGAGGCAATGTTAAGACAGTCTTGGTTCAAACTTGCAAGGTGGCTTTCTGTTTCAGGATAAGCACTGCTAGGTGCCAGAGAGATTGCTTGTTAAATGCTCTGTTCCCCTAACTAACCAGCCATCTTTAATGTCTTGTTTTCCAAACTACTTTCCCTGTGTTCTAGGGGTCCACGTGTCATCAGTGTCGCCAGAAAACCTTAGACACAAAGACAAATTGTCGTAACCCTGATTGCGTAGGAGTACGGGGCCAATTCTGTGGGCCATGCCTCCGCAATAGGTATGGGGAAGATGTCAGAACGGCATTGCTGGATCCGGTAAGACAATTTGAGTATTGGCTTTATTGTGCTTAACTTGATCAGGGAGGTGCATTCGTTGCTGATAGCGAAAGAGCTTTAGCAGAGGAACTGCTTAGAGTGCTGTAGTACATAATGCAGTCTGGTTTGATCCAAACTGAATCACAGAACCTTGTGTTGTGTAGAACTCGTTGTAGTTACTACTTCTGTAGCTTTATTTGCAGGAGTAAACTCTGAGAGCAGAGCAGCTACCAACATATTCTTGTATTTGAGCATCAGAATAGCGTTCACCTTTGCCTTGCATTAGTGCTTAATGCCCTGTGGAAAGGAACTGTATCGGGGACAAAGTGCTGCTGTTGGCGGGCTGTGGAAGTGGTGCAGGAGTTGAGCAGAGTGGAATGCTTCCTGTGGTTATGTGCAAGGCAGGCAAAGGAGAGTTTAATCCCTTACAGACCTAAGAATTTGTACTCTTGCCCTGGTTTAGACAACTTCTGCAGCATTGATGTTCACTGCAGAACTCGGTACGGAGCAGGGCCCCCTTAAGTTGCATGTATGTATCATGTCAGCCATTCCAGTTCAGTTAAAAAGGCTTGCTGTCTGTCTTCTGTCTAGACCTGGAGGTGCCCACCATGCCGAGGAATCTGCAACTGTAGCTTCTGCAGACAGCGAGATGGCCGATGTGCTACAGGTGTCCTGGTCTATCTGGCCAAGTATCATGGCTATGACAATGTCCATGCCTACTTGAAGAGGTAAGTATGCCATTGTGTCAGTGGCGTGGCTCTGCTCTAAGTGGGATAAGCAGCTCAAAACTGGGAGAGGAGAGTTCGTCCGCATCCCAGTTTGTCAGGTAAATCTCAAGATCAGTAAATGTTGCCTTTAGAATTGAAGATTCTGCCGTATAATTTTTCTGACATGTTTTGGGTAAGAATCAACAAGTGGTATATCCACTGTCTTCTGGCTCTCAACTTCAGCTGTGTTTGTTGTCACGGCTTTCACTAATTTGTCTAAAGAGTTTCCAAACAGCGTTTTGCTACAAGCTAACTCATGTTTCTACTTGTCTTTCAGTCTGAAACAAGAACTTGGGATGGAAGACTGAAGCTGTGACTGCCTTTAAATTACATACTCTTTCACCGATGTCATATTACTGCCTACAGTGAATTGTTTAATCAAATGAGATTACAAAGCCAGTGCCTTCCTTCCTTCCCCTTTGGAGTAAAAAAGGATAAAGAACTTTCACTTATCTCCGTGCAAATTGTACTTGGGAAAGTTGTTTAATGAAGGTCCCTGCCCACACAGTTGTTTCCTTTTTAAACAACTTTGCAAATCAGATAGCATCAGTCCTTGCTTTCATGCCAATAACGTTTTTTTTTCCTGAAAGGAGATGGGGCTTTAAGCCATTAAGAGTTTTATTCATGTGGTGATCTGTAATGCAGGTTTATTTATGCTTTGAAGTTGATCACAAAAAGATACACGTGTTCTGAAAATTCAAGGCAGTGTTCCCCACAGAACCAAGCAGGGAAAGGTATGTGGCAAACTCAGGCCAACTCTTGCTGCAATACAGACTCTTACTGAACGTAAATGATCAAATAAAAGCTAAGAATTCTCTAAAACAGCAACACATTCTTGAGTTCAAAAAGGAGGCCCTAAAAGTTGCGGCTGAGCAGTCTCCAGGCACTGATACTTGGTTTTTATAGAGCACTCAGAGTGCACATGGGCCATTTTAAGAGAGATTCTCCGAGTGACTTAAAAAATGCAGCTGTTGAAGGTGGCACTTAGTATTTTTGTTCATATGAGAGGAGGCTACTGCTGAAATCTTTGGTAGCATCAGCACTAGCCTTGCCTAATGATGACAGTGATGTGAACTTACTGGTATACTTTGTGGAGTGACGGCTCTGTCTAAAACAGAATGTACTCTTTGTTAAATTACTGTTCTCATGGGTTCTCCGCTCCCTGCTCTTGCTGCAGCTGCAGAACTGCTGCTTTGCAGAATCAGCACTGGTCCTGGGGAAGGGAGGTGCCTCCAGAACATTGGGCTTGGTTAAGCAGAGGGATAGTGGGTTCATGTGCCTGTTGGCCAACTACAAGTGGATGAAAGATGGTAACTTGTTGAATTTGGTTATCAGGAAGAGTGTCAGTGACGAACAATCACTGGAATCGGAAGCCTCAATTTTCTTGCCTCTGAAAAAAAATTAAAAAGCAAGGACTTTCTAAGCTATAGTCCAGCTTAAAGTGAGGTATTCTTCCAGTTGCATAGAGCAGCATGAATGTAAATAGATAATGTTCTCAAGAGACACCCTGGTTGTAGTACCAGATGAGGAAGAACAATTGCATCATCAAAAAGGCTTTTAAAAATAAATAAAAACGGAGGAGTAATGGATTGCATACGGTTAGTGAGCACTTACAAATGTGGTTAGTGCTGTGGTCTCCTCCTTAACAGTCCAGCCATGTTTCTGTATCTGGCTCTGCATGATTGTAGGAGGATATTTTGCATGATGTTGTTAATGAAGCACGAGTACAGCAAACACGGAGCTGAAGAGTTCTGATGTGCTGTTTGGATGGGGTCTTGTGTACTCAGTGCTGTAGCAAAGAAGGTGCTGTGAAAATTGCACCCAGAAAACCACAAAGTGTAAAAATGCGCTTAGTTTGGTTATGGAAGCTACTGTATAAGCTTTATATAAGGTTTAGAATGCAATGTTATAAATAATGTACAGTTGAATAGTAGAAGAATCAACTTGCTTTTACTGAGCACTAGAACAAAACATAGGTTTAGACATCTCTGCACAGTATTTGCACTGTGTGTACACATAATGATCCACAGTTTATACCTTTCTGGGAATTACATCAGTGTGTGTGGGAGGGGAGGAGAGAGGAATTTAGAAACAAAAGATATTTATGTCTCAGACTTGCAGTTCTGTTTCATAAATCATCTGTCTTATTGAAGATCTCCTGTCCTCTATCAGTTTTTATAGTGTGAATAGCTGTGCAATCTGAGGTGGTGAGTGCTCTACCCTTTAGGTACATTTCTTGAAGAAGGAGCTCTAGAAATACATGTTCTGACAGAAAGCAATTTTTTTTTTTTTCTTTTTTGTAATTGCTGGGCTTGGCTTCTGATTGCTAGAGTGTGAAAGGACTGTGCTAAAAGCAAACCTTTGCGTCATATCACAGACTGCTGTATTTAGATTTACTCAGATCTGCAATGCTCTGTACAGAGTTTTTCTATTTTGAAAATAAAAATTTTCTGGTTTAGAATTTTTGCCTCGTAGCTCATTTTAAAAAGTGTAAAAAAAAAAAGCTTAAAAAGCTGTACTTAGATTTTACCACCTTTCAGGTAAACTTTTGTTGTGAAGTAAAGGAGCTGGTTCCTCCCAGCATACCTGGGGGAGCAGGGGGACTAGGACTTTCCCTAGCCCTGTGTCCCTGAACCAGACTTGCTCTGAAATTTGTGCTGCTTGAATTGAATTGTCTGGTGCCTGGTGACTAACTTGTGGTGGTAGAAATATGTAGGTGCTGAGTCCATGCCAGATACAGACTTCAAGCACGTGTGCTATGCGCTTACCCTTCTGTGCTTTTCTCTACATTTTGTTCAAACTAGATGCCTACATCCTGAGCTAAGAAGGATGAGGATCATATCATTTCAGACACACATCACTCAGGTGCCTGCGCTATATATTTTTTATTATTATTTTTTCCAAACAAACTTAAGTAACTTGTCTTCGGAGCTCTGTACTGGAGCAGAGAATTACCTGGGGGGTCTTGATTGCAGGCTGACAGTGCTGAAGACTGTTTTTGATGCGTGTGCTGCTTGCTTTTGCATCAGCATAGCTGGGCCTAGAAAGTTACATGAGACTTCCCGAAGATTACACAAAGCCAACCTGTAGTGAGAGAGGAAACAGGAAAGAAGTGATCAAGCAGAGTGACTGAGCTGTCCCCAGATACTCTCCACTGGTAAAAACCTCATGTTGTTACTCTCACCTAAAAGTGCATTACCTTTTATTACACTGCTGGTGATGTGAGAGTAAATTTGTATGTAATTGTGTGGTATGTTAGCTTACTGTTTATGTGATGATTTTGAGGTGTCTCGGTACACCTGTTTCCCGAAGCCTCTGTACCATAGCTACTTAAGTACTGTTGACAGTAACTTGACAAATAATTAAAGAGCTCGCGATTTGTCTGCAGCAATTTAAGAAACTTCATGAGGAAAAGATCCTAACTGTCAGCTTTAAAAACAAAGATGCATGGAAATAGCGTATCACTATTAGAAGAACTGAAGAATGAAGCTCGTGTGTGAGGCAGAATAGCTGTTAATTTATTATTGAAAAAGGCTGTATGATTTGATCCTCCCTACTCTCAGCTTTAGGGCCAGGTGATTATGTGCCTATGTCCAATATAACTTCTAATATTTTTTTAACCTGATACAAGAATTTATAACTGTTAGAATACTGAAAAGGCTGTTAGGCAAATTACACTCTTCAATTCCTTGGACATTGGTTCCCTGGGATGGGAGGTGAATGGGAAGGGCATTTGTGGCTATGTAATAGTCTGAGAGAAGTGACTATGCCGGAAGGAGGAGTGATAGCTTT